ACAAATATTTTATTGAATCATGACATTTTTATTCTTTTAAAATTTTTTAATCTAAAATTTTAGCAAAATTGTAGGTGTGTTAAATACAGGGTGCGCCAGAACTCGCGCCCCAGAGAAAAATGCCATGTAAGGTAGGATACCAGAAACATGGAAAAAATGTTAAAAGAATTCTATCTATAAAAACATAGAAGTTATGAGAATTTAAATTTTGCACTTTGACTTTATTTATTTCTGTTTTTCTGCTACAGGATAATAGAAGAGGAAACAAGAAAGCTGTATCCTAAAATCTAACTCTGTTTAATGTTATTTATGGCTTTTATGGCCACCTTTACTAAATTATTATGGAAAAACATATACAAGATCATCAGTATCATTAAATAAACATAACAATGTGTCAAAAAATGACACACAAAAATTTCATGTAAGATAAGATACCAGGAACATGGAAAAAATGTTTAAAATATTCTATCTGTCAAAAAATTTTGACATATATTTTTTGACATTTAATATTTTTTATGACTATTTAATGATACTGATGATCTTGTATATGTTTTTTTACAATTATTTATGAACAAAAACATGATTAGCCCGTCACACCAAACTTTTATTTAAAAACACAACGCGTTTCAACCACAAAGTGGTCATCCTCAGGTGAAAATAAAAGTTTTATTTGACCACTTTGTGGTTGAAACGCGTTGTGTTTTTAAATAAAAGTTTAGTGTGACGGGCTAATCGTGTTTTTGTTCATCGTTTCCATACCAAGAAGAAGAAGTACAATTATTTAGTAAAGGTACAAAAATTTTGCCAATAAAAGCCATAAACAACATCGAACAGAATTACAATTTAGGATACAGCTTCTTTGTTTCCTCTTCTAATAGCCTGTAGCAAAAAACTTAAAAAATAATTGTTCCAACAGAAATAAGTTGAGTCAAAGTGCAAGATTTAAACTCTCATAACTTTGAAATTTTTATAGATAAAATTTTTTTAACATTTTTTCCATGTTCCTTATATGGCATTTTTCTCTGGGGCGCGAGTTCTGGCGCACCTGTATATAGTGTGTTGCATCCATCGGAGTTTTTGTGTTTTTTTTTTATATATAATATTCCTGATATCTTACCTTATATGGGGCGCAAGTTCTGGCGCACTCTGTATAATAAGGCAGTTCTGGTTAGGAAGTGACCACTTTACAACCTGAACTGTCAAATGTCATGTTTTTTAAAATTTGATAAATTTTTTATTAGCTTTCTGTTCTTTTTAAGAAGGACGATTGAGAATTAAAAAGGTATGCAAAGCTTGGTGGTCGTTGCTTCATTTAACTCGGCTTAAAAAAACGCCTTGGTGATCCACATGATGTTAAAGACTTGAAATAAAATTCTGTGTTAAAATGTGAACAACTGCCCGACCTCTGAAACCTTGAATAAAGGGTGCTGAAATAACAAAGCTAGTTTCAGAAGTGAATAATTTCAGTTTAACCCACTATAATTTACTGGCTTTAGATTGCCACACGATGGTCTCTATGGAACAGTGAATGTTTTAACCGGTCGACACTTGATGAAATCAGCAGTTATAACTCGCTGTCGAATTTTTTCTGATAATAGAACCCCGAGAAATGGCCGTCAATAAAAGCCGCTATAACTTTTATCATCTCTCATAACGTGTAGCCGTCATTTTTAGAGCTTTTTCTCGGTTTTATTAACATCTCCAGGCTACATGTTCGAATTTGTTGCACTCGACTTGCTTTAATTGAATTTAAATTATTTTCATTGACGAAAAATCTAATTAGTAACGGTTCATTCCGACGATCAATTTATTAAATGATCCTTCTTTTAATTAAACGAGAATCTAATATTTTTACTTTGAAGGGTCGAGGGATATCCATCTTGCTGTCACTGGAGCTTTCTACTATTAACTCTTGTAAATTCTTGACATTTCGAGAAGCAATATCACACCTCGACAAATGGAAAAGGTGCTTTCCACTAAGAAATTTTTCACTGTGTGCATTTTCAACGAGATTTAAAAGTAGCTTGTAGGTATTTTCCGGGAGAACTTTGTAATTATTTACTGTCAAGGGAGATTTAAGAGTTTAGGTTGAAGCGCTATTTTAGCACTGTTTGCACAATTATTTCTATATTATTTGCTAAGAAACTAAGAAGTTTTTTATGGTACAGTTAGAGTTGATTTTTTGTTTTCTTATTAAGGTATTTTCTTAGAGACCAAATCCTTTCACACACCGTTAGTTTACCCGTATTTGGAGTCTTAAATTAGATAAAAAGCTGTTTAGCGAACCGAATTGAATTCCAACTTTTGTATTTTCCTCTTAGTTACTCTATGTGCTGTGTTTCAGTATCGATTTTTCTCGTTTTAAATAACAAAATAAAAAAACTACAATTGACAACACAACAAACAAACTCCATTTGTTACAAGTTTTAACTCCATTCACCTGATGAAACTCTCTCGAAAATCAATAATATTGCGGTTAGTTCAAGCGTAAAATTTAGCTAAACATACATATCTCAAAGCCACGAGCTGAAACTTCAGGTTATTTGTAATATTAATCCATAGAAAACTTTACAAACTAGAGATTGGAGCATCTTGAGAGTTTACAACGACTCGACTTGGAGACTTATTCAGAATCGGAGGAATTAAAAGTTTATTTAAAATAATGCGAGACCAACGAATCAATAATGAACTAAACGCAACAGATAATTGAATTTTGTGTCCAATGCAGGTGTGCAAATTGAAATCGCAATTCAGCTAAATTTAGATTTGGGATAAAAACAGATAAACTTTTTTTTTCGCTTTTGAAAGGAGAGGGCGACAATGATCTTTGAGTATTCAGGAACCAACTTACTGAAATAATGAAGATATTACATATTGATGAGACACGTGGATGCTGAAAACATGGCTCGACTATGAAACATTAGAGTGTAGCGACCTGAAACGAGTTTGTGATGGAGCAATTTTTTGGTTGAGAAATTTGAGAAATGAAACTGATGTTTGTGAGGAGTGGACAGACTTATTTAATAAAAGAGAGGTTGTGACCAGACACTATAAAATAAAAGAGGAATTCGGGCTGAAAAATAAGCTGACAAGGAAATGTTTAGAAAATTGTTTACAAAGACTATTATTAGAGTGGCAAAAAACAAGATTGTATTTTGTAAGTCAAAAATTTTAACTAAATAAATAATTAAAAATCGTAAAGATCTTAAAACACAAACAAAATATCGAGAAAAACGACGTCTTGTTGAAAATGTTGATCTTTAGATAATTTCTACCAATTTTTAAACACGAGAATTTTAAGGGAAAAGTCAAAATTTTGTAGAACAACTCAAAATATTGCAAGTTTAAAAAAAAAAATAAGAAAACAGTAAAGTTTACATTAAGACAATGCATACTAGAGATTTTAACTGAAGATGAAACAATTTTGTTTTTTTCAGCTAAATTTGACAATTGAAGAACAAATCAAAAATGTATAAAAACAAGTTTTTCAAAAAAAAATATGCAAATCCAAAAATGAAATAAATGAAATTTTGAAACTCTAGATTATAACGATAATAAAACATAATTTAATAATATTGAAACTTAAAAAAAATACAAAAAAGAGAATTTTAATTTTGAAACAAATTCAAAAAAAAATTCTTGCACTTTTAGGAAAATGTGAAACTGCAAAATTCCAATATAAAAACCAAAATTAAACACTTAGATCTCGAGATTGGAAATAATAAATTTAAGGTTTTCTAAAAGTTGACTGTCAAATTAATTTTTTTTATAAAACTATAAATTTTGAGAGAAAGGGTCAAAATTTTTTACGAAAGAGATAGAAATCTCAAATTTTTAAGATTAAATTTAAAATTAAAACAAAATGTTATGCTAATTTAAATTTTGAGAAACAAAAAAATTTGAAAAATGGACAACAATCGTAACAGAAAAAAAACGCTTTAGGTAATTACAATTAAAATTGATTTAAGACATATTGAGAAAATTATTTGTTTCTGAACAAGCACTTAATATTTGCAAAAACTGCAATAAAACTCTTGAAAAACTCCGATTACTTCTTTTCTCCTTCCTCGGAATCCAATAAACAAACCTCTAGCAACCAAATGACTAAAGTTTTGTCGATACACAAACTTCTCTCACTACTGTGAACAATTACAACAAATCTAAGTGTCATCATCAAAGTGTCAAATGTCGAAAATGGAACAAAGCCCAATTGACAACCCCAACACTGCTATTTTATCCGAAAGCGAATCTGAATCCCATCCTAAGAAAACCACCCCTCGACGAAGACGCCGTCGCAAAGAAAAATTCATCCCGGATTTTAACATACCAGGTGTTCACAAAATTGTGCTACCGGAACTAACCCAAGAGGCGATTGGATGTGTGGCTGGTGATCAGGTAACAGCGGAAAAACCGTGGATAACTGTCGACAAAGATTTGATTTTGGAACACTTGGAGAATTTTCCTGAAGAATCTGAATTTCTGTTTTTGAAAAATCAAATTTTAGAATTTCCTAAAGATGAGGTACTCATGGGGTATATCCCAGATGAGTCAAGAGAATTTGATGAGTTTTATATTTGTGTAACTGAAGATGCAACTCATGCCGTCAATGAAATTGTTGAAAAATTGGCCAAACTTCAAGAAGAAAGACTGAGGAATGCTATTCATCGAAAAATCAAACGGTGGAAGCCCTTAGGATCGGATAAGGAGATTGAAGAAGGGAGAATTAAGTACAATAGGGCTTTGATTGAGGTTGAAATCGAGTCTAAATACCCAATTCTTCCGTTTAAAGTCCATTTCAGGCTCACCAAAGCTCAGGACTTGAGAGATGGATACATGGAACTTCGCCCTTCTGATGAATCTCAATCAACAATTGTTAAAAAACGAATCGATGCTTTTGTTCAAGTGGCCCCTAACACAGTTTCTAACCAAGCACAGACTATTTGCACGTATCCTAAAAACTCCTATACTCAATACGAGTACGAAATTCCAGAAATGGGGGAAGTACCTTCACTTGGAAATTTTCCTCAAAATTTGGACTCGTTTTGTGACATTTTACGAGTCAATGGATGCATTGATTTGTACTCCAACGACTACGAAAACCTCGTCCTAAACCCAAAAATGACAGTCCGAATCACCGCCGCTGACGCAATTGAGTACTTCTGTTTCATCGATATGAACTTATGTGGAAATAAAATGGTTTCGAGTTTGAGTTGGCACCCCATGTGGTCGGGTTGTATGATCGCTTCTTATGTCGACATAGCCTCCCCTATGTACCTCCAAAATAAAATTAACACAGATGAGGTCCTCAAAGCTGTTCATGACTCAAATCCGGTACTTTTCTGGAGTTTCAACGATGACCTCAAACCAAAACTGATCTTAGAGACCCCTCGCCCCATCTATGCCGTCTCTTGTTGCCCTTACAATGCTAATCTGATTATAGGAGGCTGTGTCAATGGTCAAGTGGTTCTCTGGGACATCACTAACAAACTCAATATGGTCGAAGAAGAGGAAATCCTGACTATTGAACAACAAAAGTATCGCGAATACATGTTTTCACTCATGAATTGGATGAAGAATATTTTTGACATAACTTTGGTTCGACCTACGGCCGTTTCAGACTTGAAATATTCACATAAAGGTTGTGTTACTGCGATTTCGTGGCTGTCACCCTTTCACCACACCTCAAAAACGGGCAAAATTGAGGAAATTGAAAGCGATTCTCTTTCGCTTGAGTTTATTACATCGGGAGAGGATGGTACTGTTATGATTTGGGACCTTCTCAGGAAACCTACAGTAGAACCTGGAGGTTTTAAAGCTGTGAGGAAATTGAGGAGGCTTAAAAAGAAACCAAGTGCTCTTTTGACCATGGAGTCGTCTTTTAAAATCCTTCACCTCAATCTCAAACCGGTCTACAAGATTAATTTGATCAATCCGATGCAAAACAACCGACTTATCGGAATCTCAACGATGTATACAAATTTTTTTCGAACAACTTTCGAGTGTGTTAATAAAGAACATCGAAAAAATATCAAATTAGCTGATCGACAATTTTTTCGTCCTGTAATTAATTTCTACGGAGCTAATTCGCGGAAAACATTTTATGCTGGTACTCTTGAAGGTGATTTTGCACAGGGTGTTTGGGAGGGACAGGAATTTGATTCGGGCGAGGTTGTCAATTTTGAAAATTGTCAATTTGTTAATGTTGGAAAGGTCCATGATGGTCCTGTTGTTTCGATTGACTACTCCCCTTTGAATGACACTGTTTTGACAGTGGGAGGTTCGGTTTTTGCTCTTTGGAGGGAGAGTTTTAAAAATCGGCCCATTTTGTGGCGAAAATCCAAGTCGGTTTACACCGATGGGTCATGGTACAGGTTTGAACAAGCCTCAATTAAGTTGGTGCGAATAGATGGGTATATGGAGGGATGGAGTCTCTTTAATCAAAGTAAAAAACCAATTGAACAAAAATTGATGTCGAACGGTGCTGTCACGATATGTAGTACTCACCCAAGAAAAATCAAATCAAATGTGTTTAGTCTTTGTGACTATCGAGGGTCAATAAGACTCTTTTATAAGCAACATTTGAGTCCTATTATTATTAAAGCAAAAGAAGAATACATGAGTGAATTTTTGACTCGAGAAATTGAAAGGAAGAAGAAATTTCTTGAATGGCAAGACAAATGGAACCAAAGATACCTTATTAAAAAACCAGTCGTTGAAAAAGAACCTGAAATCGTCCCAACTGAAGTCACTGAAACGAAGAAAAAAGAAGAAAAGAAGAAAATTGCCAAAATCAGTCCTGGGCAAAGATATCTTGAACTAGTTCAAGAACAACACCGAGTTAACGAACAACAAAGGATCAAAAGTATCATCCTGATGAAGAAGCAACTCGACACTGAAGACTTATTGAAGAAACGAGAACCGCTCCGTAAGCTTGAAGAAGAAAACGAGGTGAAGAAGCGTAAACAAAAGAAGAAACTTAAAGAATCTGACAAGATCTTTAAAGATACAGTTGCGATGTTGTTTCCAGATGTTGTTAAAGAGAAACCGCCACCGCCCCCTGACCCGTATGAAGATTGCTACAGTGAAGAAAATAAGAAGATCCATTTTGATAATTTTAAGGGGATTTGTGACGAGGCGAAGAATTATGTGGAGGAGAATCCATTCAGTTATGATTTTAGTTGGGGGATGGTTTTGAAGACGGGGAGGGAAAGGAGAAAGAAGTTGGATGAAGGAGGAGAGAGGGAGGAGCATGGGAGGAGATATGCAATAGTTAAGGAGGAGAAGGCCAGGTTGGCGGCGGCGGCGGCGATTGAGGAAGAGGTTGCCAGAAGTATGGTAGAAGAAATCAGTATTGTTTCTAGTATGTCAAATGTGACCAATTTTTGAAATGTATTTTAAAATGTAGTTTGAGAACTTTTTTATAATAAATAATGATTAGATGTATTAAAAAATATTGAAAATGTTTTTGTAATCTTTGTTGTTTCTCAAAATGTTAGGGAACAATGCTACAAAATTTCAGTGGACGGACTTCAAAAAATTATCTAAAAATCTTACATTGTTTCTTAAGAACTTAAGTTTTAATTTTTTCATCAAAGGTATTTCAAGATTGTAGTGTAGTTTTTTCAAGTCGTATACTTGTATTGAAATGTCAAATTTTTTAACTAGTTACTCGTATCTTAAATCTTTATTTTTATCTCAAGATTCTACAATTTTAACTTTAATATTTCAAGATTAAAATATTTCAAGATCTTTTCTTTCTTAGATGCAAAAATTTTTACAGTTCTTTTCTTGAGTTACTCAAATTAATTCTCATGTTTTTATTATTTGTTTGTCAAAGCTTTTATGAAGTTACTCCTCAAAATATAGACACGTTTTTATATTTTTTATCAAGACATTAACATTTTGTTAAATTCCATTTTTTATCGAGATATGATTAAATTTATTAGATATTATTATTTTGTGTAAAGTTTTTACAAGATTTCATATTAATTATATGAAATCCCAAACTTTTGTCTTAGTCCTCAAAATATTACTAATTTTTTGCTTCAAGATTTTAATAAATTTTGCACATTTGGAACGTTTTGTATTCTAACATATTTTCTCAGAATCATGATTTTCAATTTTAAGATTTTGCAATTTTATTAAACACCTTGTTCATTAACGATAAGCTGTCCACATCCTAAAATTTATCCTATTGTTTGAGTTTTAGAACATTTTTGCTTTTTTCATATTTTAAATTACCTACTAAAGTTTCTTTAATATTGATTCTTGATATTTTCACTGCAAAATTTAACAAACCTTAATTCAAAACCTCTTTTTTAACACATTTGCAGAAACTTGGGTACAGTTTTAGTTCAAAACCAATCCAAAATTTATATTTCCATCTATACTCAATACTCATATTTCGTACATCTTATCTCCCTTTACAAGCCACCTGTGTATTACCCTAATAATTCTCCAATACCCTCTCGTATAATTTCCTCTTCCATCTCCTACGACATTTCTATGTAAACCCGCAATAAAATTCCAGAAAAGTAATTACTTAACAAAATTTACAAAAACTTTGGAAAGCTTCAATTTTTCGCTGAAAAATTCCTTTTTTGTTCGTTTCAAAGGTAATACTTACCACTTCAGTCTCTTCCATTTCGCTTGAGTGGATATGTCCTTGATTTATCACACAAAAACACCACTTAAATATTTACAAAGTAATGGAACATGCGAACCGATCGCAATTTAATTTCATTACATGAAAGCTCGCTGTGCTTGCGATGGGAGATGGACGCACACTACAGGTTGGAGCTTTGGTAGGAGAAGAGAAGGATTTGGCAGACGCAATGTTCTCTCGTTTTGCTCCCGGTTTGTTTATCTTTGTCTCGAATCAAAAAAATTGTTAATAAATTCGAAATAAATATTGAAGCGATTTATTAAGTTTGAAGAGGTGCTGACATCGACGAATTTTAAGTTTTATCGATTTCAAAGTTTGTGGCTAGACGCCAAGTTTTAGAGTTGGCTGATTTGAATTTATAGACGTTAAACGTTTAATGCATTATTATGAGGGGGTGTGGACATAAACTACTTCAAAAAATTAAAGGAAAAAAAATTTCTTAAATGCTATAATGCTAAAACATGCCCTCCGGCCTGTGCATTGACTTAACTAAAAAAAGAAATTCCTCACGTTCGTGGGTCAAAAACAAAAACATAAAAATTTAGGTTTTTTTCTCGCGCTATTACTTAGAATTGGGTGATAACCGTAGCACACAAAAAATATTTGCCAAAAGATCTCAAAACTAAAAAACAAAGCTTCAAAATGTTTTTTTTTAATCTAGATACGACCATTTTTCGCTGAGTTACAGCCTGTCAAAAATCAACAAAAAATTTGGGAAAATTTTTTGTTTCTTTAATTTTTTGGAGGAATATATTTGCTGAAAAAAATTGGAATTTTATTGAGACCAAGTATCAAAAAATACTTGCATTTGCAATTTAAAAAATTTGAGAATTTTTCTGTAAAGGTTAATTTTGGGCTAAACAAAAATTCGATTTTTTAGAAACAGGTTTAAAGAAATTCTGGAACACGATTTTATAAATTTAGAAAAAAGGAAAATTTTGAGATTGTACCTTTAAAGTCTTCAGATAAGAATCAAGACATAATAGCAAATAAATTTTATTTTTCTAGGTGAAAAAATTGATTTATTTTTGTACTTTTGAGAGCAATAACAACAATTTTTCATTTGAAATTAGTATTTATTTTAAATTATTTCACTTGCTTTCTGAAACGATTTAATTTAAAAAGTCGTCACTAAAACCTGTTCAAATTTCAAATTTATATTCTCTCATCCGCTTTTATATTTCCATTTCCGACTTACAAAAACCAATAAATATTACACCCAACGAAACCAAAAACTATGATTTATTCATACTCTGAAATACACAGTTCTCTTTCAATTTTACCCCAGCTATTGTAAATCTTACTTAAACTCTATCTTTGCTACAATAACATTGTTACAATTCGGGAAATTGCCTCAAAAGGTATCTTATTCAAACTCACATTTCCGGAAAATTTTGTTCTTTCCAGGTGCGTCTATTATCTTGAATTCAATTTGAAACTTTTTTAATCGCGTGCAAAGTTACAAACTCGTAATGAAGTAATTATTCAAGGGAAAAAAACACGTTTTTCTCATTATTTGAAACATTTATTTCATAAATAATACTTGAAAAACTTAACAAATATCACAAAATTCAGTCACTAAATCTCCTTGATTTGCAAAACCTTGACACTCTGTAAGAGCCAGAAAAGTCCGGACAGGACGAAGAATACCTCACAACCTAACAATACGTCATTATCCACATCCTTGAATTCTAGTTTTTGTAAGGCGGTAACGAGGATCATGCACCGGAAAAGCTCCATAATGCAGGCATATGGGGCATTGTCAAATAACAGTCCAATTGATGTTAATGATGCAATAATATAAATAACAAACGCTAAGACTGTGACGGGGTTGAGGACCAAATGTCGACTAGCTAATTCTTGAAAGCCGTAAACGACGATGCAGAAATGGACGAAGAGGTAGATATTACACCAGAGGGGTAATTTCACGTCGTATTTCTGTCGAGGAACTACCTGGAATGAGGAGAATATTTAGCCAAAATGAAGTTTTAAGCCGGTTTTGAGAGAAAATGAGTCTTTGGAGATTATAAAGAGCCTAATGGCTGAACAAACACTGCGTTGTTTTCAAGGGGTACTTGAATTAGCACGTATATACAAGTGTGTAATTATTTTGAAGGACTTGAAGGATCAGCAAGGTCGGTTGTGAGAAATATTTAATCAGAAATGTGGCTATTTTACTATCATTTTCAACAATTTGTAGGAACATTTTTAATTCTGTATATTGTCAATAGTGAAGATTTTGATTCACAATAACAGGGTTTGTATATTTTGAAACAAAAAAGGTTGTGTATACGATTAAGTTGCATGCATGGAATGATATAGGTAACAGCGTTTTTCAAAAATACGACATTGAGTCAATGGTTATCGTACCTACTTATATTCATCTACATATTGTTATTAGAGATTGATATTGTTTTTTTCAAGATATAAAATTATATTAAATTTTTTTGTGAAGATTTAGTCTTTATTGTTTCAAGACATAAATTTGAAAGTTGCTAAAGGATCTTGAATTTTCTGTACCTAAACATTTGACACCACAATGCTAGAGCTTGAAAAATAAGAATTTTGTAAGATTAATTTTAATTTTAAGTTGTAAAATCTTTACAAAAAATGCAAGATACTTTTAGTTATTTATTATACAAGACAATAAAGAAATTGTTTATCTACGAGTGAAGCGGTTAATTTTGCGAGTGACGAAGTCACGAGTGGACTTTTTTCACGAGTGATAAGCAATCTTTATCATCGTGTATAATATTTCGTTTTATCTTGTACTCACTTACCAGTATTTCTTGGAATATAACCAATAGATAAAAATTACTTTATTTCACTAGACTATAAAAGACTATCTTATCTACTGAAATTAGTTGATAAAATATAAACAGTAGATAAAAATTACTTTATTTCACTAGGCGATAAAATACTACTTTATGTACTGAAATTAGTTGAAAACAACACTCTTTAACACTGAAACATTTTAACACAAAATAAAAAAAATTGCATTTTGGGAAACGTTATTTTATCTTAAAAAAAAACCAAAATAAATCTTAAATATTATGTAAATTGATGACTTAGAAATGCAAAGCTAAAATTTGTCAATTGAAACTTTAATGATTTTAAAGAAATAAGTCTAACTTTTAGTCGCTACATTTAAAAAAAATAAGATCTTACTGTAGATTTTAAATTTTCGAGAAACAGTATTAGATATTTATCATCAATAAATCTTAGCAATTTTCGGAAGTAAACAAACACTTTATTGTAGGTACTGTCCAAATTAAGCATTTCTAATCTTCAAACATTTTCAATTGAAAATTTTTCGAATTCAAGAATTAATTTTCATAAAAATTCGTCAGGGTGTACGTTCACGTTTAATATAACAAATAATAAGTGGATTTGTTTTTTTTTTTTTTGTTTAACTTGTCAATAAAACATGATAACCTACAATATCTCAATTTTTTTCTCCATTTTTTACGATTGACGATAAAATTTTGTATGCAACACGTCAGTAAATTGAACTCGCCTGTTACTCATCTCGCTCGCTTCGCTCGCTGTGCTTATAATTTCAGACTCTTTCGATAAAGTATCACTTTACAGACTTGACACAAAAATAAGTATTTTTTAAAAAACAATATAGATTCAAAAGTGACGGACTAACTCTCGAATGATGATAGAAGACTTTCAGCTAAACAAAAAATTAATTCAAATTTTTTTCTAAGCCATTTTTTTTGAAAAATAAACCAGAACTGTCAATTTCTAAACTATCATGGAATCATCTTAGCTCTTTTGTTTCCGATGTTGCCGGATTTAATTTTTTATTGAATTTGCTAGTTTGTTAAATCACCATAAGACACAATTTGGCACTTTTTTTCAACGAAATTCAAGAAAACATAATCTAAACCGCCAAAAACTATACTCAAAATCAATCTCTGAAGAGCTATCTCTCCTAAAAAAAGGCTCAAATAATTTTTTGTCATGGCAACAGATACTCCGACACTTTTGAATCACCCTGTAGAAGCTTCGATCTTAAAATGCAGAAAACAAATTGAATTTTATACACGACAACGAAATTCCGTTATCCACTTTCTAATTTAATTCACTGTTTCTATAAAAAAGCTATTTTAAGATACAAAGTCTTTAATTATTATTCCAACTTTTGACAATTATGACAAAAAATTTGAGATTCGGGGTTTTTGTGAAAACATCGCCAATATATGCAAAAAACTTAACCACACTTACTTTAAATTTATCCTCATCCACTCCCAACCTTGGCCTCCCAGGCTGCCAACTAGGTCCATAAAAAATCGCAGCCAACTTGTGTTGCCAACAGTTCATCTCTTTGAATCGTTGAAAAACATACGCTGTGTAAAAAGTCTACAAAATCGAGATAAAAACAAAATTACAAGAATCAACCGAAAGTTTACTCACTTGTAAATGTAAAATATTGAAAGACGGCTGATTGAAAACCAATCCATAGACAATCTCTTCGTTTTTCTTCTCTTCGGCAAAAGTTCCAAAGATGCGGTCCCAAATTATTAAAACTCCACCGTAGTTTTTATCCAGACACCAGATATTAGCACCTAACAGAATTATTGTTTCATTTTTTACTCTCATCAAACGATTTAATCTATACCGTGATGCACTCGATGATGTTGCGGCGTGTTGAAAAAAAATTCCAACGGACCCAACGTTCTAACTGTTTTGGTATGTATCCAGAATTGATAAAGCAAATTGAATTGCTGGTGGGTAACGAAATGTGCCGGAGGGATGGCGAAAGCCAGAGGCAAATAAAATATCTACAAAATTAGTTTTACATAAGTTTTTAACCAAATTGTGACTTAATTAAAACAGATGAGGCAGAAGCGAGGCCATCAATCAACTGTCGCGTTCAATTAGGGACAAAAATTCGCAAATCGATCAAATTATAGCCGAGTCTCTATTATCTAGTTATGAATTTCTATTCCTCTGGGTTTAGAATTGAGTCGAAAGATCACTTAAGGATCCAATATCGGAATAACGGCCAATTTAATAATCGTTCGATTGAATTTATGGTACTTACAAAGCCGCACCAGCCTTGGATGAGGCTTTGACGGAGGCCTACAGCTAGGTTGAATTCCTCCGAACTGTGGTGGACCTGGTGTTGGGCCCAGAGGATGTGGATCTCTGAAATTAATTAAGTTAATAGCACTGACCAGATATACAGAGTTGCTCAAAAATATGGATACTGCTAAATATTTTCAGAACGGTTTCGCAGAACACGTTGAAATTTGGGAAACAGTTAAAAGTGTTTAAATTTTATCATCTGAGACCTTTTTTTTTATTTTTTTTTAATGGCACGAAGAGTCAAATTTAATAATTTTTATGAGAGCATTTTTTTTCTGAATTTAGTGATGTAACGTATGCCCACCTTTATTTTTATTAAAAGGTAAAAATAAATAAAAATATAAAAATATACTTCTGGAAAAGTTAGTTTTGAAAATGCTATTATTAACGATGTGTCACTTAGTTTTTGGGATCAATAATTGTCAAATTAGCATAATTAATTAATGCTAGTACGACTCGACTGTTTTTAAAAATTTTCAGTGTCAATGCGAATTGATATAATTAATTAATTAATTGTAATTGTAAATTTGTTTTATTGTTTACGGTTTGCTGATTCATTTTTGTTTGTTTGGGAATAAATAGTACAATTTTGATTTAAAAAATGTAGTAAACAGAAATAGTAAAAAAGGAGAAAACAAATAAAAATGAAAAAAGATGTAGCAAACAACAATTCACTTACAAAAACAAAAATAAAGATAGAGAGTATAAACAATAGAAATTGAAAAAAAATAAAAAATGTAAAGATAAAATACAAGAAGAAAATGTTACACATTTTTAGTTAGAACTATATTAAATATAACAAACAATAAAAATATAAATAAGAAACAAATTATGAACAACACTAAAAAAGAAGACACAAAAAAACAAAATTAAATTAAAATATCTACAGAATTAAAAAACTTATCAAGGTTTCAAAAATTAGAAGACAAATATCGTAAAAAATGCAAATAACAGTAAATTCTGTGTTTAGAATTGAAACTTTTCAAGGAATAAAAAATTTAAATAACCAAAAATCTCCAACTTACAAATATAATATTAGATTATACAGGGTCGGTAAAAAATATGAATACAGCTAAATATTTTCAGAACAGTTTGGCAAAGCACGTTGAAATTTGGGAAACAGTTAGAAGTGTTTCAATTCTATCATCTGAGATTTTTTTAAATTTGCTACCATCATTTATTTTGAAAATACAAAGCTAACTTGATTTTTTTGAATGACACAAAGGGTCAAATTTAATTATTTTTAAAAGTACTTAGTACTTAGTACTAAGTTAGCTTTAAAAATGCTGTTATTAGCAATGTGCCACTTGCATATTAGCCAAAAATTAAACTTGTGTGCAATAATTAGTTTAACAAGTAGTACATTTAAGTGAAACTGAGCATATAGAAATTTTCAAATCAATGGAAATCTTTTCCATTTAAAACAATTGTTATTTTAACAATTATTATTAAGTTTTACTTATTTTTTGTTCAAAGTTCAGACGGCAAAGGGCTAACGATAGATAAAAATAACATTTCCAAGGCTACAAAATTTTACATTTTTCAAAATTTTATTAGTTCGCTGATTTTTTTGAGTTTTTATTAAAATAAAGGATGAATGTGTTGCATCACAGAACCCAGAAAAAAAATTTCTTTAAAAATATTAAAATTGACTCTTCTTGCCGTTTAAAAAAAAAACAAGTTAGCCTTGTATCTCCAAAGCAAATAAAGGTAGAAATTTGATAAACATCTGAGACGATGAAAGTTAAATATGTACTTTTAAGCATATACCAAATTTCAATAAGTTTTCATAAATAGTTTTTATAATAATTAACTGCATCCATACTATACAGGGTGTTTCACATAACTTTACGAGGCTTGCGCCTAATGTACGCACTCAAATATACAAAAGTCACAGAACACTGGATACAAAAAATACACATTTAATTATTTAATTTTTGGAAACCCATGACAGTAGTTGTCAAACTAATCACTGTTTCAATAATAGTCATAAACTGCAGTTTTTCAGAAACAATTATCATTTGTTCTATCAAGAGACGGCGTGAATATGATTGTAGTTTATCTATCTTAATCATGCACTAACTAATTAAAAACGTTGTAATTTTTAAAGGGTGAACAAACTAGAAAGGATTATCCAATTTTTCAAAATTTGTAATCGAGTTCGTATCGGAATATGTATTATTGATTGCATTTTACAGGAGCAGGCCTCGTAAAATTACGGAAACACCCTGTATATTAAGTGACTCTGTATAAGAAGGAAAAGGTAAATTTTGGAAAAACAGCGAAAATAAATTTTTATCCGGAATAACAAATAAGTCGACAAAATCAAATCCCACTCACCATGACAAGCTCGATGGACCCAATAATAGCAAAAATCCACTCCGACGGCAGCCAAGTACCATGTACTCGCTTGATCCCACCGTAATTCCACAATCCGGAAGTTCTCATAAAGATACACATAAGCGTAGCTCTCAGCTCCCCGGAATATTAGTCTGCAACAAAAGCTTTAAACTGGAAGCCGAGCTTTCACACTTTTGTTGCTTCGTAAATTAAACAACTTTAAATGCAAATTTAAACCGCGACTGATAACTGACACTATAATAATCTTGTTATAAGTTACTAAATGCGATTGGAGTTTCGTTGGCACATATTTTATTTTTCAATTTTAATTAATTCATTCGAAAAATAACACTTTAACCCAGACTGACATTTTAATTATTTCATAGGTCAATTGCTATCAAGTGGCACACTCAGACTTGTTTTTGTCAATAGCGACAATGAAAAAATTAATTAAAACGAGGTTTTTGATGTCGAATGTAATAAAAGTGCGTTATTGACTTGCAAATGGATAGAGTGATAATCGGGTTTAACACCAACCTTCCGCATTCTTGCACTAAGCCGTGTGATAGACTTGTCAAACCGTCGTTTAGACGAAATGTTGGCTTTTTATCCAGATAAAGGACGAGATTTTCGATTATGATGAAGAAGAGAAAGTAGGGCCAAGCCTGGAACAAACAGAAAAGAAATAGATGGAAATCAGGTCAAGTTGACTTTGTTTTGCCTTGATGGAACAATAAAATCACACAAAAATTGATAATGAGTTATGGAGATTATTGGAAGGTTTTGAAGCGACCCTGCTATTTAAAAATGTATTAGATAATTACAAGTTTTTTAACTAATAAATTAATGAGTAAACCGTGTTTTCATTTTTAACGCAAAATAGCATATACACTGTTGGTGAAAAAATAATTTGTTTAGTGTGTTTTTGCCTTGATAAAACAATAAAAGAAAAGAAAAATCGATTAATGAAATTCTTGGAAGGTTTTAGTGTCCCTGTCAGTCATATTTTAATTATAAACTATATATATGTTAACTACAGGAACCTTACTTTATGATTTATGAAATGCTAAGGATAATAAGTAACTGAATATTTTTTTATTTATGAAAAAAATATAATTATATACTTCCGTGTGTTTAAAATTTATTTTACACTTGATTTTGGTAAAATAAATAAAATAAAGCACTAGAAATGTTGTTCTTGGATTTTTTTACAATATAGAGGTGTCCGAAAAGTCGCACATTTTTGTGAAAGGGGTAATTGGGTAATCCCCCGAAGTGCTGAAAAATGTTTTTATTCCTCTATAAATTTTGATATTTATATTTTGATATTTAAACATTTGACGTTTAAAAAAATAATTTTGCCCATAAAATCTCCAAATAACATTAAACAGAGTTACAATTTAGGATACAGCTTTCTTGTTTCCTCTTCCGATAGCCTGTATCAAAAAACTCAGAAAATAATATTTCCAACAGAAATAAATAGTCAAAGTGCAAAATTTAAATCATAACTTAGAAATTTCGTCACAGAGGTGTGCGACTTTTTGAACACTTGTATATTTTATTTAAAATTTTAAAAATAATGTTTTAAACGATTTTTTTAATTATAGCGTTTGATTTTGTACTTACAACTTACAGACTCTTCTAATACATAACAAGGGCAATTGTGGATTTTAATCGCAATTAGTAAGTGGCATTGATATAAGATAAATTTAGTTTGAGTTACTTATCATTATTATAAAAATAATTTTGGTGTATTTGATGTTTCTTTAAGTTTTCGATTGTTTTACTTCTTTCACTGGGCTCAAACTTGTTGCTTTTCCTGTTTTTCAGTTTTTATGTTTTATTATGGTATTTAACATTTCTATTTTATTCAACTTTTTCTTTGTATTACATATTTCTTAATTTTGTATTTTTTTGGTGAAAATTTTGTTCTTATCTTTTTATTCGTATTCTTGTTATATTCTGCTGTTTTAATTTTTTTTAATTCTGTGATGTTTTTTTGTGATTAAAAGATCAAATCTTAAAGTTTTCATTTTTGAGTTTTTACTTTATTTCGTATTTTATTTGTATTTTTTGGAATGATTACCTTAACATTTTTTTTATTTATACCTAATGTTAATTTTTTTAATTTATAATTAAATTTTAATCTACTTACATAGATGTTTTAGTGTTTCCTATTTTTTTTCTTTTGTTTTCTTTTTTATTTATTAATTTTTGATGTTGCCATAACCAAAACTGTGAATTTTTGATTAACCTAAAATAGAAATAAAAAATAAGCTAACTTTGCAAAAAACTAAACCTTAGGTAAAACAGACTATATTTTCGATGTTATATTTTAAAATATTCAGTGGTTATTATTTGTAAAAATGCATTTAAAGTTGAATTGTTAATTAATTAATTATTATTTAGTTTTACATCCACACATCTTTTTTTCATTTAGTTTTTTATTTGCACTTTTTCTTGCTTTTTTGATGTTTTGTGCTTTTTTTATTTAACTTCATTTATTTCACTAATAATACAAAAAAAAATGAAATTTTTTGACAGTTAGTTCTGTATCATTGATTTTAAAGCTAAAAACTCAATTCTGATTTCTTTACCTGCTCTGTCAATTATAAGATAATTATTTTTTGTCTTTGCCAACCATACAAAAAAAAATTACACTAAAACGCATGCTTTAATTAGTTATTTAGTAATTGTAGCTATTAGGAAAACAAAAGTTTTAAACTATAAAACTTATGTAGTCTTCAAAAAAATTTTCAACGTTAATATTGAATTAGACATTTTGCTAACCTCAAAAATTGTTATAAAGAAATTTGTTAAAATTGACATAAGTGTATTTTACATGCGTTGTGATTGACGACGAATTTTATAGAACGGCAACATAAGAGGTAAGCTTAAATGCACCACAGAAACAATATAAGATATTAGTGTTGCAAAAAATGTTGTGTTCTAACAGTAAACACAACAAATGCTAATTTTTCCTCTCGTCTGCACTTTGCACCATCATTCGATTCATTTTCCGCAATTTCAAGCAGCAAACTGTAATGCATTCCTTCCGAGTTAATCAGAAACATCTCATTTACATTTTAAATACGTCAAATACCTCTCGGCAATAAAGAATTTTTACAATTTTCCGAGCAGACTTTATTAAGAGAGTAAAAGATTTGCCTAACTTTTGTTATTCTTTCCGATTGCAAACAAACTTTCGACTTTAATTAAAATAGCCGCAGTGACGTTTTAATTTCGTTCCGAGAGAGGGTAAATTAAGAGTCTTAAGGGAATTTGAAGGTTGGTATACCAACTACTGCATGAATTAATTGTAACATAAATGGCTTTTGCTTGTTAGCATATTAGAGACTAATTGGAATTAAAAATGTTTGGACCAGTGGATGCTAAATGGGTTGTTGTGGGAGTTTTTGTCGAGTTATGTTTAAGTGCAGAGACGAGAGTGGCGGAAGATTAAAGAGAATGTTACTTTGACGGTCTTGAGTTTTGTAATTGTTTCAGAAGACATTAAATTTCGGAAATGTATATTAATACAAAGAAAAGTGGCTTCTTTGATAACAAGCACTGTTTTTGTGAAATTCTCTAAAATTTGAATTCAAAACAAATACCCAATAATTGATACATGATAACACTTCTCTGTTTATATTTTTATGCGGAAAACAACAAACTGTAAACAAATCTCCTTTGGGAAAATTAAAGGTCAAGTCACACGCGTGGAAATTCAAGTATTAAATTTCTTCATAAACAAACTTTTCCGAATCCTTACTAAAACATTACACTTTAAAATTAATATTGACTCAACTTAGACGCATGGAAGCTTTGTTTATCCCGAATTGAGGTCACAATTTATCACTTTATCACTCTTGTGTTATAAAATAATTACTTACATTTCTATAAAAATTCGGGACTTGGTCCTTGTCTCTGAAAGTGGTGTCCAAAGGGTCAATGATGTAGAACATGCGTCCCAAGCCTTTGAAAAAATCGTCAAAACGTCCATTTTTGGTTTCGTTATGTAGTAGTTTGATAAAAACCGAAGTTACAGCTTCGGTACAATTTGACACTTCTTCCATTCAAGTGAATTCTTGTTTCAGAATGAGATAGAAGTGCAACAGACAGTTCATCAGTTGGCGTATCACCAATGGTTATTTTTAAAACTGGGGATAGACGCACTTTGAGTTATCTAAGATTTGACTGCGAAAAGCTGGGTTTTATACGAGGAGTGTGTAAACAATTGAGTAGGAGGGAGTGTTCAATGGTAGCACCTGAATGGACTGACTTGACCCCCAAGGCAAACAAAATTGAAAATTTTGAAAGGAGTTAGACGATAGGTTGCTACATCGACTTCGATACTCAATCAAATAGAGAGAGTATTGACACGGTTTGGCAATGGTTTATTGCAAACATGCGCTGGATTGTTTTCCTCTTCCAAGTGTAATATTTTTTGTTTTTTTTTTTCTAGTCTTAGTCGCGTTCCTAAAGTACTTTTTTTTTAAACTTATTGCTTTTCTTTTTTTGTTTACTTATGATTTATACAGGGTGCGCCAGAACTCGCGCCCCAGAGTAAAATAAGGTAAGATACCAGGAACATAGAAAAAATGTTAAAAAAATTTTATCTATAAAAATTTCGAAGTTATGAGGGTTTAAAGTTTGTACTTTGACTCTATTTATTTCTATTGGAAAAATAATTTTCAAAGTTTTTTTACTATAGGCTATTAAAAAAGGAAACAAGGAAGCTGTATCCTAAATTGTAACTCTGTTCAATGTTATTTGTGGCTTTTATTGACAAAATTTTTGTCTCTTTACTAAATAATTGGAATAAACATAGACTAGATCATCAGTATCAGATATAAAAAAATGTCAAATGTCAAAAAATAAATGTCAAAATTTTTTGACAGATAGAATTTTTTAAACATTTTTTTCATGTTTCTGGTATCTTACCTTACTTGAGAAATATCTCTGGGGCGCGAGTTCTGGCGCACCCTGTATGTACAGGGTCACTAAAATGTATGGATACAGTTAAATATTATAAAAACTATTTATCAAAACTTATTGAAATTTGGTATATGCTTAAAAGTATTTAAATTCCATCGTCTCAGATGTTTATCAAATTTCTACCTCTATTTGGTCTGGGGAGATACAAGGCTAACTTGATTTTTTTTAATGGCAAGAAGGGTCAAATTTAAGATTTTTAAGAAGAGCATTTTTTTTCTGAGTTCTGTGATGTAACACATTCATACCTTATTTTAGTCAAAATTCTAAAAAAAATTACAAACTAATAAAATTTTGACAAATGTAAAATTTTGTTAGCTTTGGAAATGTTGTCTTTATCTCTCGTTAGCTCTTTGCTGCGTGAACTTTGACCTAAAAATAAGAAAAAGTTAATAATAATTGTTAAAATAACATTTATCAGCAAACGTCACAAAAGTGACCACTTTTATGACTAAATGACAGGTAAAAATGTTTTAATTTTCAGACATGGAGTAAAAACATTATTTTTACGCCTAGGCGTTTTCACTTTTACTTGAGACTTATTTTGACATTTACCACTGTTGTCTCTTTCGCTTTTTCAGCATTTTCTGGATAGATATAAGGTAGATTATGAGCATTCGACATTTTGCACTATAAACTACAGTTATTCACCAGTTAAATCAATCAACACTTTCGAAATCTTAACACAAATTCCGAAACTGACGCGTGACGTTTGTTATGATTTTATTGTAAAGCGTCCTGATTAGATTTACTTGATTATTGGTGTGTTGCTCTTTTTTCTCCATGTGAATCGTTTGCAGATAAAATAGTATATGTTATTTGGAGTAAAAGTGAGTTTATGTGGCTTAGCTGAATCTATTTGCCTCACTCCGTTCGGCAAAATGAACGTTCAGCTTCGCCACATAAACAATCACTTTTACTCGTAATAACATAATCTACTATTATTTTAACTGAAAAAGATTAAAAAAAGCTTAAACACGAAATACATAATTTTTATGCTTCAAAAGATGTTCAAAATAATTTCCATTGATTTGAGAATTTCTATATGCTCAGTTTTACTTAAATGTACCATTGTTGAACTAATTATTGCACACAAGTTTAATTGTTGGCGAATATGCAAGTGGCAGATCGCTAATAACAGCATTTTTAAAGCTAACGTAGTTTTACTTTTCTAGAATTACATTTTTAATTTTTTATTTTTTTTACCTTTTAATGAAAATAAAGATGGGCATAGTTACATTACTGAATTCAGAAAAAAAAGTATTTTTAAATGTAATTGAATTTGACCCTTTGTGTTATTAAAAAAATCAAGTTAGTCTTGTATTTTCAAAATAAATGATGGTAGAAAATTTTAAAAATCTTAGATGATAGAATTGAAACACTTCTAACTGATAACAAATTTCATTGACATGGATATTTTTGATGTTTTTACTTTTATATTTAAATTTTTTTTTCCTTGAAAATTATATATATTATTCACTTTGTATTCCTACTCACCTCTTTGAAAGTGTCATAATTAAGAGGAATTTTTTTTTATTTGTTTTTTCTTTCTTTTTGCTACTTCTGTTTTCTACATTTTTAAATCAAAATCATCATGAGTTGCAATCCAATTTCTTGCACTATTTATTCCAAAACAAACAAAAATTGACTCAACAAACCGTAAACAATGATACAAATTTGCAATTATAATTAATTAATTGATTAATTGCTCAATTGGCAAATGTTTTTAACACCGAGTAACCGATTCATTTATTGCAGCTTGTGGACCTTCGCATTGACACTGAAAATTTTTAAAAACAGTCGAGTCGCACTAGCATTAATTAATTATCCTAATTTGACATTCATTGACCCCAAAAATCCAGTTTTTAGAATTTGAATTTTATAAATGTATTGTGACGTAAAAAGATTGTAACAGTTGTCGTGAGTTACATCAGAAGTGTTTTGCAAATTTCTGAATAATTATCAAATGTAATGTCTGAAAAATCTTCATCAGATATTGCGTAAAGCTGAAGAATTTGAATTTTTAAAATCTTATTTATTTAGATATCTCGTGTTTGTTTATTTAGGTTTTGTAGACTTGTCAATGTTAATGGCAATGTCAAGAATAAGATGTTTATTTACATATGGATGTATGAATATTGATCCACTATTCAAGTTAAAATGGACAAATATTCTAGTCTACCAGACATTGAGGAAGGTAAGTACGGTGTTATTGCACTACGATTGCATTATCAATTTCTGTTTTTATTTTAATCATGACTTTAATCAAATTATTTTTTTATATTTTTAGAATTGGTAAACACAAAATAAATACTGTCAAGGTTTAGTAATTCTTACAGCAAATATCAGTAGCAAAATTTATCTAAAAATATCTCTTTATAGGTAGATCTGTGTAAACTTTGCATAAATTTACATTTAAAAGATAACATTGCTAAATTTCCTTTATTTAGTGCACATTTTTTACATCTACTGTGTTACAAGAATTTGTCCATAATTTGCGAATTGATCAGTTTTTCGATCTTAAGTCTTGAGTGTTTTTCAAGGCCACAAAAAAACTCCACGATTTTTGCATTATCTGAAAAAAAATAATAAATATACAAACCAGGCGAATACAAAGTATGGAACCAAACGTTTTTTGCTTAAACTATTTACTTTTTGGAAAAACTAATTGATAAATGATAAAGTGCTATAAAAAAAGTAACGTTTTATCAACAATGAAATTTTTCAATTTTTGTTTTGTTTTTGAGTTCTACAAAACCACTATAAAACTATTTTTCTTGTGAAGGGTATGATCTAAGGATTACAACTAGGTATGTATCTACTTTGTATTTAATTTTTATCATTTTTTTTTTCAAAAATTTTCATTTTGACAAAAAAAATTGCATAACTCACACAAAAAAAAATCATTCGCAAAATCCTATTTTTTATATTACATTAATTTATATTCATTATTATTTTTTGGAGGCAAATAATTAAAAAAAAAACGATTGGTTCATAAACATACATCACAATAAGGTTGGGATACAATTTACTTGGTGACAAATTTACTATTTTGAGAATAGATTTATGTTATAAACATAACATATTTTATTTGATGACAAAGATTTTTATATAGTGAGAGGTTATATTTACTTATTTTCTTAAAAATTTAGATTATTTTGAATAGCATAATCGTAGTCTATTAAACGGCAAAATATTACATTTTCAAAATTTTATATATTAGGTATACTCTTTCGTAAAAAAAAACATTTTTTTGATTTTTTTGATTATCTAGTTCAGGTAAAGAATTTTTTTAACCGCGTCGTAACACTACTAATAATAAACAGGGTGATTCAGAATCTACTATTTTTAACATACTCGTATTGTACTAAAAAAGTGAAGTATTTCTTAACGTTTCAGATAGAATCAAATAGTGCTGAGAATGATTTCAAATTAATTTATCAATATTAAAAACTGAAAATTATCAGATTTTAAAAATTTAATGTTAATCATTGTTTTCACTTTATACAAGACGATTCAAAAATAAAAAAAATAAAATTAGTGAACATTTTTTTCCCTATTTTATTCACTTTGTATTCCTACTCACCCCTTTGAAAGTATCATAATTAAGAGGAAAAATATTTCCAACATTGATAGTGACCGGTTTTTGCACCTGTTGCATAAAAATTAACAAATCCTTTTGAATTTTGAGTGGAGCTTTATACCATGTTGACTTGAAAATTGAATAATACAAAATTTCACACTAAAAATGTAATAAAATTTTTGTTTAATTAATTATTAGAACATACCTTGACAATTAATCGGTTTCCAAAGTAACAAAACAGAAAGATTTCACTACCCATTGCTATACCGTAAAAAATCACTCTGAAAAAATTTAAAGAAAAGGGTTCGGCCTGAAATTTCAATATTTTTAATATTTTTTCTAGAACAAAAAATAATTCTTACCGCATTTAATTGATACATTGTCATCATTAGAGACAAACAAGAGCATATAAGTTGATTGATCAGGATTTCTTTAAAACAAAAAATCAATAACTGCGAACATCTGGAAATAATAATTAAATTTTTTATTTATTATTTTTTTTGTAAAAACCTTACTCTATTATTTTGTTATATTGTTGTACACACTCAATGACAATTTCATGCATCCTTTTGTATTTTTGCTCTTCATTCGAATTTTCATTCTTTGCTGAAATCTCCTCCAAATTCAGAAAAGTATCAATAATCAAATCAAGTCGCCCTTCAATTTGTATTGCAGAAATATAAAAAAAGAAATCTCCAGCTGCATTGACCGCAATTAAATGAAAATCAAAACACAATGTCCCTCCAAAAATCCCATAGTAAACCACATCTTTGGAGTAATCCATTGGGAACCACTCGTAAAATCTTAAAACTTGATTTCTCTCACTTAATGGAGTGGCTGTAATCCCCACTGCTGCAGCTACAAAACTTCCTCCAAACAAATTAAAAATTTTGTTCGAAAGTTTTATCGAATTTTCCAAAATTTTCTTTTGATTTTCTGTCCGGATTACAGCCTTCTGCGGGTCCAAAATGTCCAAAAGTTGCTTGATTTTTTCAGAATAGATTGGAAACATAACGAGTTTGATCGGAACTGTGAAAATTGACGGTAGATACGAAATGAAAAAAATTGCTTGAGGGTCATTGTATTTTTTATAAGTGTACACGAGGCACAAAATGCAGGTAAGAAATACGTAAATGGTCATTATGTACTTGTAAGTTTTGTAAAACGGAGATTCAGTTTTGTATTTCCACATTCCAATAATTTTCATGAGGAGAATTGTGTTTTTGAAAGCATTGAGGGGTGGTTTTGAGTGTTTTGACACTGAAAAACAAAGGGTTCGGAGAGTTTGAAATAAGTGAGATTGTGTTGAGATCATTTCAAGGGGAAAACTAATGATGAATAATATTGTGATTTATTATTAATGAGATGAATTTTTAACGGAGTGGCTTTTGATCTTTAATAAATCATCTATTACGTTGTAGGGTAAGGATGGGCTTTCAAATTATTCCTTGCTCTTTTTAATTATAAAATAGGTATAATTAGTGGACAAATTATAGCTCATTTCTTTGGTGAATTTTGTAGCAAGTTGTAAGAAAAAAAAAATAAACGAATGGCAAAATTAGAGAAAAAAACAAAATGGGTAGATGAATCCATAATTTGTATTTATTTGTACTAAAAAGCCTTTAGAATAAGCCAAAAATAAAACAAACATGTATGAACAGAGAATATGAAATACCCACCAAAAAAAGTAAAAAGGACACAAACTCTTGCAAAAAAGATAAAATACAAAAATGTTTTAAAATGTTGAGTATTTAAGAATTACTAAATCTAAAAAACAGAAATAATAGTGACGAAATAAAGAAGATGTTTTTAAAAAACAACATGATAAGAAGAAATAATAAAATAAGAAATAAATACGAAAAAGAATAAGAGAAATAAAAAATAAAGCTAGAATAATTAAAATCGAGATGGTATAAAAAGGCGAAAATATGTGAAAAAAATTGAAAGCAAAATAAAAATATGACAGTTTTAGCGATCTTGTGTATTTTTCAAAGCAATAAAAAAGCTCCACGATTTTTGTATTATCTAAAATTTATCACAATTTAAAAAAACTCAACAAAATTAAAAAACTTACCGATTTGAACGTTTCACAAGTGATTGGAATAACATGACCAACATGGAAAATAATTGGTTTTTGCAACTGACTCATAAAAATTTGCAATTCCTTCTGAAATTTTGGTGAAGCGTTGTACCAACCAAACTTAAAACTTGCATAAAATAATTTACTACTCTAAAAAATTACATTTTGGGTGTGACTTCAGTATAATTTGCAAATACTTTTTCCAAAACTAAGTCACCGAAAAAGCAGTATAGAAAAATTTCGCAAATGACAGCTGATTGAAAGAAACACATTTTGAAAAAAACGTCACTGAAAGGCTCGACCTATTTAATTATTTTTTTTTAATTTAAATTAATTGTACTTACGATTGATAATTGGTACATGGTCATACATAGGGCAACAAATGAACAGAAAAATTGCACCATTAGGATTTCTCGATAACAGCTTGAAATTATTTTAACACATCTGAATTTTTATTAATTATTATTTTAATAAAATTTGCTGTTAGTAATTACTCTAAAATGTTGTTGTAATAAGTGACACAATCGAGTAGCAATTTCCTCATATTTTTTTCCTCTTGCTTAGCAATTCTGTCTAAATTTTCTAACGTAAAACCAACAATTTCGCACTGAACTCCAATCTGAATCGCCGAAATATAAAAAAAGCAATCAGTGGCAACATTCACGTAAGCGAAATACAAATAAGAAACGCTGATATAAACATAAATCAATTCGAAAATCCCCGATTTGTGATAATCGAAAGGTAACCAAATTACTAACGGAATATCAATATCTTCCTGCAGCAAAGGCTGCGCTATCAACAACCCCACAGTTAGCAAAACCAAATAAAAACAAGCTTTAATGACTAAATGCGACTTTTTTCTCCCTTGTTCGACTAAAATTTTGTATTTTTTTGAATCGGGACACAAGTATTGATTTTCGATGATTTGCAACACGCGTTTAACCGATGTGAAATTTTGACGAAACATCACGTATTTCAGCATTGATGTGGTCATAGATGGTGAAATGTATAGACTATCAAGAACTGCACTGTTTTGAAAATTGACAAAAATAAAAATTATTGTAAATAACCAATCATTAAACAAAAGAAAAGTGGCGGTGTATTTATAAATTTTGTAAAAAAATTCGTTATCGTAACACCACTCGCCGAAAATTTGTAGCAATTTTATATTGAAACTGAATGCTTCCAAAGGGTTCATTTTGAATCAATTTGACTGAAATAAGTGGAGGAATGTTGGCTTTTATAGGAAACAAATTTTGAAAAATTAGAGCGTGCGCTCTCGCAAATGATTAAACTTGCATTTTGGTTCATATTTTATGGACGACTTTGAGGAAGGTGTAATTAGTTGTGCTATTATTAATTAATTTTGCTTAAATATTGACAACAGTTAGCAGTATAATTTTTAAATTTTACAAAAGATTGTCTTCGTTATTTTAACATTTTAGACAAAAAAATTGATTAAAAAAAATTGACAGTACTACATTTCTGAAATGAATTTCAGAAAGTATCATTTTTGTAGGTAAATTAAAAACATCATTTGTACTTAGGAAGAATGTTAGGTTTACTCCTATAAACATAATTAGGAAGTGGGCCTTGCATAATTCAAAAATGTCGGACCAACTCTCGAATGAAAAAATACACAACTCTCAATTTTCATATTATCATTTACGCATTTTAGTATTTTTGTTTCTAATGTTGTTAGATTTAATTTATTACTGAATTTGCCAGTTTAATGTTTTTTACACCATAAGACACAAACTGATGATTTTTTTCAACAGTGTTCAAAATCTGCCGTTTTCGTTAACTAAATTCAAGATTTCGTAATCGAAACAGCCAAAAATTTAATCCAAACTCTAATCTTTGAAGAGCTGTATCTTGTGAAAAAAGCTCAAACAATTTTTTGTCATTTTAACTCAGTTGGATGTCTTTTATCACCACCCAAGAGATGGTTAGATATTTTTGAATCATTCTGTATTTCCGTTTATTAGGAAACGATTAAATTAAGCAATTATAAAACTGTACAGTTACCGCTCTACCTACATATTTTGCATTGCCAAAGCAGCGGCTTGAAAAGCAGTTATATTTTGTGATCCTTATTTTATTATTTTCTGAGATACAATTTATCTTTTCTGAAATTCATTTTACTGTTTTAAACTACAATTAATACATTCTGAAATACAATTGCAAAAGGTGTAGTAGGTACAGTCGAAGAAAGTGAAAATGACGCCTCAATAAGCCAGCCCCTGCTGTAGATGCTGACCCTTCCAACCGTAAATTTTTGGATTGAGGTAGTTTCAAAATAAATTTATTTTGGAGGCGGTTTACAGAAAGCGAAATGAAAATTTAAATCCGAATTCAACTAAATCGAATTAAGTTGCCATTTATTTTGCATTGACAAACGTCAAATTAATGAAATGGAAATGTTGAATTTTTTGAATGAAAAATTTAACAAACCATTTCTTAAAGAAAATTATGCATTAATAATGATATTGACGAAAAAAAAATTTAATAACAATGTTTTTTTTTAACAGTTTTTTTCAAAATAAAATTAATGAACATAATTTTTGTACGAAATAGGCGTTCTCTATTTTAAGCTTAATTTTATGAAAAACAACAAATGAATTAAAGCATTGTTTATTTGCGAGAAGTAGGTTTAATTCCACGTGTGCGTTTACCGCGAGTGGTTTAATTCTTTGAGCAGAAAGCGAAATTAAAATTAAACTAATTCGAATTAAGTTGCCATCTATTTTGTACTGACAAACGTCAAGTTAATCGCGAATTAAAATTTAATTGCGATTAACACGTTCTGTAAACCGGCCCTAAGTTTTCTATTAGTTTTGTAATTGTCATTGAAAACGAATCAAAATTATTTATTTAATTTAACCATGAAAAAAACGCAAAATTATTTGAAATATTTTTAGTTCTGCTACAAAATTAATTTTTGATAATTTTAATACTTTTAAATTAAATAAAAATGTTTAGTTTTT